TCTAATAAAATCTTATTTTTTTTAAAAGAATTACCCTTGAAAACAAATGTTTTTTTTTTTTGACAAAATAAAACAAATGCCTTTTAAATATAAACAAACATCTTCTCCGTCTCCCAACATCTTTACCCTTAGGCGTGATGAGGCACATGCACATTGTCCTCCCACTTGGTATTATTTTGGTGTGTTTGAAGTTGATTGAATTAAATTCCATCATAAATTAAGCTCCTTAGAGATTGCTTGTGTGAATTATTATTATTATTTTTTATTTACCCTTGTTGAACTTGACCTATTTTTTATTGTAATCTCTAATTGTATTTTATGTTTTAGCATTTGTTCTTATAGTTTAGATAAAAAAATTTTTATGTAGATATTGTATGCCGTTCATCTTAATATATGAATTCTCCTAAGTTATATAATTTTTTTTATGTAGATATCGTATGCCATTCATTTTTTATTTCCACTAAAAAATGAATAAAGTTAAAGTAGGTAATTTGGCAACTTCAATATCTTTTCCACTTATGCAAAAAGAGACTAATGTAGATGCTTTGGTGGGGATTATATAGATCAAGTCCTTTTTATAGTTAAAGGATTTAATTAATGATTGTGAATTCTCTTTATATGATTAAATTTGTAATTTTAAATTATGTATTAAATCAATAGTTGTATAATTACATCATGTTCTTTTTTTTTTGTGGAGGGGTGCTAGGGACACTCGCCTTCTGCACTCTCCGGCCAACACTTTTACTTTTATTGAGGTACGTTATTCTGGTCGGTAAGAAGTTGCACTTCAAAGCTGAAAACAAGCTTACCTGGCCCAATGAAAGGGGAAGTGTTGGCTGGAGAGTGCAAGAGGCGAGTGCCCCTAGCACTGCTTTTTTTGTATTAGTAAGACTTGCCCCTGGCACTGCTCTTTTTTGTATTAGTAAAACTTGAGATGAATGGATAGAAATATCTCTTATACTTTAAATTAATAAAATTTATTTAACTAATAAAAAAAATATTTTTTCCACTTCTTCTTCTTCTTTTTTATAAGAATCTAACAAATTTTCAATGATGAAAAATTAGTAGTACGTTTGATCATAAAATTTAAAATTTCATATTATCGTAACAGGTAATACGTTGTCACCTTCTATTAAAAAAAAAAGGTACAACGATTAAGGCGTTAGTGCTGTGCCCTCCCTACTATTATTAACTTGCCCACTGCAAAATTGAATAAAAAGTTAAAGTAGCTTTTTCTTTTTTGGCCGATAAGTTTAAAGTAGCATATTTTGGCAGCATTAACATTTTTTTCAGTGCAAAATTGAATAAAGTCGATATTAATGATTTTATCAATCAATGTTTCACACGTGGAAAAGAAAGAACATTATTTTATCTATTATTAATTAATACTTCTTATTAAATTTTATTATCATTAAAGTTTAAAAATTAAAAAAATTAAAATTTTAATAGTGTTTAATAACTATTTTGTTTA